GTGCACTGCTGAGAAGTTGCATACTAGGACGAAACAGCTATCCAGTGCTTCCAGGTTTCCAATATTCCACTAACTGATGTCAGTTCATAATGAATATCAACTTGAAAAATCAATAAACCTCCACAAAACCCTAAATCCAGTTGACTCAAATGTATTGGCAAGTTAAACATGTAACAGTTTGAAACGATCGCTCCCGAGTCTGAATCCTGGTGGGAACAACACCACTCACTGAGAGGCAGGTGCATCCAGCTGACGAGTCCAAAATATAACGAAATGTGCATGCTGAATTCCACTGCTAGCCACTGACCATCATTACTATACATAATTGAAACACAGGCAATATCTAGGTATCCGCACGGGATCCCATATGCCAATAGAGACTGATCAATTCGGTCCAATCAACTACGGTGTAATACAAGCCATAACACTATCTTATTTGACTTGATCTTTAACGTCATTTACACAACTGATGACTGAAAATCCTCACAAGATTCGAATCAGTGGGCTGTGCTTTATCAACACAGCTCGAAGACCTAGAATAGAATTAATTCTCAGTTTCATACTGAGGGAGTAGATCAGTTATGATTATACTTCAGAGAGCCTTTTATCCTGTTTCTCCCTTAACTATTTTATCCCTAATAAAGCTGAATAACCCTGAAGCTTGATTATAAATATCATTAGGAAAGTTGAATTAATCTGGAAATATCTGTTTTCTCACTAACAGTCTCAAGGTATTCAGGAAGGTATGTAGATGGCTCACAAGGTGATATTTTAAAGTATCTAACATTATTTCCTTCATCTTATAAATTTGAGATGAGGATTAGACCATGACAAGCCAACAACTGATCAATTTTCACATTTACAACTCGATTATCCATAACTTTAACTAATTTATCCGCCGAATTTAAAGTTTTTTCTCGTTGTCTATCATTAACACTCGTTACCTGAATGATAGGCAAAGATTAGAGTGAAGACAGTAACTAGTCTCTTGGTCAACTTTGATGGTAATCAAAATTGTCACCAAGGTGTTTTAAAAATACGAAAGATAAAATAACAAACCTGTTATTTAATTGTTGCTCTATTTAAGCAACAACAAAAAAAGAGAAGAAATTGGGCACTCGACAGATGTTCTTAAGATTTTAAATTAAATAAGCTATCAGCATTCTGCCGCTTTCATGCTAGTAATCACTCCAATTACTTAACGGTAATTGCGCTTTTCACAAATTGAATGAAATGCCCTAGTAACTGAATACCTCTTCTTCCTCTTCTTCTTTTTAAAAAGCCATATTAAATTGTCCATTTCAAATGATAGGCTTTTATCAAGTTGTAGGTTGGAATTCACCATAGACTGAAATCAGTTGGGGGAACATCAGAAACCTGGGAGTACCGGACAGTACCGTCCTAGTATGCGACTCCTCGGTAGTGTGTGCCCATCACCCCGCTACACCAGGGCTCGAACCTGCGATGTTAAGGTTCCATGGCCAGCATGTTATCTTTGAGCCACCGGGTCAGAATCCAACGGTCCACATTTTTCTTCCAGTACTCCCAAGTTTCCAATGTTTCTGCATCCGATTTCTGTTCATGATGAATTCCAAATCAATTAATAAATTTCTAGACAGAATTAATCTAGCGCCCATTGATGACTAGCTTCGAAAGGTGATTCCTGAAGTTCCAATGAGAAGTGGTGACCAGTGGAGTCAACCAAATCGAACATGAGGACAATTGCTCAACCACATGGTCTCAGTAATACTTGAGGGTTTACATATTTCCCTTCATCAAAGGATAGGAATCAACTAGGTAATCCAATACCACAAAAGTGTTATAGTACTAGATGAGAGCTGGACGTTGTTGATGTTATGATGTTCTAAGAATGATATGAAACCAACGATATCCAACTTGAGCTAAGAAGGCAAATGTATCGAGCAGGCTTTATAATTCAACTGACAAATATGTTGTTGCCTGTATTATCCTATCGTTGATTGGACTGAATTGATCGGCTACTACTAGCAGAGGCCTCGATATTGCCTGTATTCTCAACTTTATTATAATGATGGTCAGTGGCTAGGAGGTATGCTTCGTCCTATTTGCAACTAGTCAGCTTGATGTACCTGCCTCTCAGTGGTTGACGTTGTTCTCACTAAGACTCGAACCCGGGACTGATTGCGTAGCGGAGAACGAGGCAATGAGCTCTTAGCTGGAACCCTATCACTCACTGGGGATGGTAGGTACATCCAGATGACGAGTCCCAAATAGGGAGAAACACGCCCTTTGGATACTGTTGCTAGCCTCCAAATAAACTCCAACATATCACTACTTCCTTACAAAGACGTTGACACTTGAAATATTAGTTTCAGTTCAGATTAAGAAAATTATCAACATCAACGAACAGCTGCATCCAAGTACTGTTAGACCTCATTTTAACATTTCCAGCAAAAACATCCTACTTGAGCTTCTCAAAGTCCTAATGAGAAGCCGTGACCACTGGTAACAACCATTTCATGTGTGAGAACCAATACTTACCGATCTCGTCGGATGATGACCGTACTTTAATGCCACTTGACATAAGAAAGTAGGAAAATGGGGACCCATAGACTCCAACCCTGTGGTTGAATAGCAACGTGCTTGTAGGGAGATCCAACGGTCCCGCGTCCGATCTGTCATGAGGTCTTATGTGTGCACTACAGACAAGTCCCACACTAAACCGAGTTGGCTATACAGTATTCGGAGGTTTTCAATGGTCCTTCGAGTGACATCAGTCTATGGTAAATGTTACCTTGAAATTAATTGATTCCCCTAAAAAACCAATCGAATTTAATCTCATTTTATTCATGCTTCAGTTATTTCTTAACTATAATGGAAAAACGATCTATCTAATGGATCACTTATAGTTGTTTATAATACTACTGAAAAACACTATAACCGCTCTTTAATGTGTCTTTTCTACATAAAGTGACCAATTCAATGACCATCCTTTACACCACTCCCTCCCCCATCCCTCCGCTCACTCAACGTCATCATGAATGATCAAGATTGGATGAGATTAGTAAATTATAACAATAGAAATAAGTGTAATCATCAGTAATCTACTGGTTTTGCAAAAGAATCTACACTTCGTTGATAATTGTGAATATACCTTTATTTTTTAATGTAAAAAAAATATAACATTATACAACTATTGAGTGAAACAGCTTTTCTAACCCACTTCATTGATCTCTAGCCAAGAAAACGTGTCATATATCTTGTGGATTACTGGATCTGTTGATATGCCTCGTGTGTGTGTGTCGGGGGGAAGGGGGGGGGAGCAAACAGAGGAGAAATAAAGGAGGCCTAAACTTAACAAATAGATGTACAAGTGGATTTATGGATCGAAGATTAATGGTAGAAGTTATATCATTGATTTTTTTCACTTGACTTATTATGCTTCTCTGAATATTCGAGATGATCACAGTAGAATGAATTAGTGAATTCCAATTGATGTTTTTCCTGCACAACATACATACACAAGCCCAGAAGATTCACTTCTAGTGTTGAACATCGTATTATTTCAACAATTGACGGTAAATGTCGATTAATCTTCTGCTTCATCTAGGATCCGATCTTTGTTACATACTTTTAACGTTCAACATGAATAATGGATAGCTGAGATGTGTATGTGTGCGTGCGTACACTCATCAGCCTCTCTAGTGAACTATGAAGACGATCACCTGAATAAAGAATATACCAAGTAACGGAATTAGTGATAACAACTGCAGATAATCAAAACTCAGCTGACGTTAGTATCATTTAACATGATTATCATCAATGAAGTTATCAGTATTATAAGTTTGCTTGGAATCCAAGATATCCGCTTCTCCCTATTTAGGCCTCGTCAGCTGGATGTGTCTGTATCTCAGTAGGCTATGTTGTTCTCACTCAAACTCAGTCATTAGTACCTCAGATTAAAATAAGAGGGAAAGTTTCAACATCTGTAAAATTAATTTTTGCAGGGAAATAAACTGTAGTCAATAAAATCCATTTTTTAAATATGAAAACGGTTTTCACCCTAAATCAGTTTTCTTTGAAAATAAAATTTTGGTAGAAGACTGAGTCGATAATTTGCTAAGTGTTAACAAGGGAGCATGATAGACTAATTCAAATACAAACCATTCCTATAACGTAGTGTATTATCTTTGACGCCAGTCGGTTAGAAGGTAGTTAGGAAAGATGAAAGCATACAATACAAGACCAATTGTGGAGTTCCCTGCGAAGGGAAAATTAAATTTGCGTACATCACTGAGATCTACATGGTCGACATCTTTCAATACTTGAAGTTTGAAAACTACATAACTACGTTGTACAGTTCTCAGATTATGAGTAAATGCTATTCCTGAATAGTTCAAGGCTATCAATTTGAAGTCGCTCCGATGCTTAGTTTACGTCACCCAGCAACACCTAAAGTCATAGACAGACAACGTCTGAGTTGGATAAGTTATCTCCCATAAATCTGAATTCAAGACAGACTTACAGCCTCTCTAGCTTGTTCCTATCCCAACTTACACAATTGTAGAGTCAGGGTAGCATGATTTCGACTGGGGTGTTTTATTTACTCGATAAGCTCCCATGACTTATTCCTATCACCTATTTGTGTTTCTCTGAAAAGAACATTTTAAATAATAGTTAATTTTAAGTCTGAAACCCTCAACTATAATTGTCATTCAAATAATCTCATGAAAAGAATTTCAGTTTGTTGAGTTAGGAAACATGTCAGCATACGCCATGCTATTGGTAGGCAGGTGGATATTGATTGGCCAATCAAATAGCAGATGTTCTTGATCACGTGCGTAGGAGCGCATGTGCTTTTTTCTCATTGGTAATGAATTTATACATATTTAAGTGATTGGTCTAATCAGTCATAGCAATTTGAATTGTGATTGGTTCCTCCTCAAACACGCGTCAGTGGAAGTAAAATAGGAAGATATATAAATGACTAAAATTCAGCTTAATGTATAAAGTTATGATTGCTATGATCCCATTTAGTGATTTCTGTGGAAATTATTCACGTGTACCACCTGTTGTCAATACACCTAACTATGTTATGCCACAAAATAATCTATGCAGAAATGATTCATCCCAAACCATCTCTCATACTACAACCCCCTCTAGGAGAGGTAGACGATCAAATGTTCCACCTGAAATTAGAGAGCAAACGCGTCGAGTAAGTTAATACAACTTGGTAACTGAATCATTGCATTTGCCTACCAAGAGTTTGTTTTCCTTTGTTAAAGTTATCTTGTTATCTTTGATAACCTAAGCACTGTTTCTATGCCAGCAAGTTGAAAGCATTTTGAGCTACTAGAAATTCCTCCCCCCTCCCCCAAATGTCACAAAAAATCGTTCCTTTTCGTGTTATTTTAATCATTTGAATATGTTTTCAAATCATATAACGTTCTCTGGCTAAAGTTATCAGTGAAATTGAGAGAAAACATCATAACGTATCAGTAAGTCTTATAACGATTCCAGGAATAACCTGCTAGGACTTCAGATATTCACTCTGGTTAGATGGACCACCATCACCGGACGCAGGCATGCTTTTTTAGCCGTTCCCCTTTGAGACACTGTACTCAGAGACATGACTATAAGCTAACGATAACTGATCATTATATCTTGTTACTCATAATATTGTAACGATAAGTATTCTTTAAATACTATTGTTGTTTCGTTTGAGAATACTATAGAAGGAGTAAACTTGTTGAAAAATTACACCGAGAATTGCATACATTAAAATGAACGTCGTTATTCAAGCTATTACTACTAAAATATCACTTAAGTAGTCTTTTCCGAAGAAATTTTTTCATTCCAGTATTCCAATGACTGTTAAACAATTGAAAGTTGATGAGTGTAAGTTTTTGCGACAGTTTGCCAGGAAATATCTTCCTTGACTTTTTCTATGCTGTAAATTTGAATCGATTAACTTCGTCTTCACCAGAAGGAATAATATTCTTCTGACCATCTGTGAATCACCATGTAAATAATGCCTTGAATAGTGTGACAATTAATAGCCAGTACAATTTAATTCGACTTCATTGATGGGAAGTTAGACTAATCATTTTTGTGGTATATTTCACACAGGTAAGAGAGAGATTTGATTATGACCACAAAGTGTACCCTGAAACGACATCCAGTGAATAATATATCAATCAAGCAAATATAGTTAGAATTCTTTGTTGCCACTGAATTCGAATGTTATATCAAGCTCTGTTATAATCATTGTAGTATCTCCTACTGGAACCGTATGCAATAACATTAAATCTTTAAGCGTAATTTCGAACTAAGCTTCTGATATTTTTATGAATCAAAGCAAACTGCAATAACCTTGTGATTTGCTTGAAAGTGGCTAGCAGTTGAATCTAGGATGGACGTTTCGTTCCATCTGGAACTCACCAGCTAGATGAACCCGGCTCTCAGAGACTCGAACCCAGTACCCATCGTTTTAGACACTGAAGCGTTATCCACATTAGCCACATTTTGTGCATAACACAAGTTATTATTACTATTTGTTGATTATAGCCTAATCGATAACGCTTTGGTAATTGAAACGAAGGGTGATGGGTTTGAGTCTCAGTGGGAATAACATCACTACCCGAGTTGCAGACACGTTCATCTGACCAATCGCAAATACGATGGAATTTGTGTCCTGAAAACCACGGCTCGGATCACTAAGCAAATTGCAAGTTAATCTATGGTCAGACAATATCAAGATATCCGCATAGTAGCCCATGTGTCAACAGAGGTTGACTAACTCGATCCAGAATGACAACGAACTCCTGTATTTCCCTAGTGGTTGGTGTTTAGGGTCATTTGTACCGGTTATCTATCACTAGGTAGTTGAACATTAGTATCAAATCGGTATTTGAAGACATTTTATCATTACTTTAGACTTATTTGGTATTGTATAACATCTTTTCTGTGTGTAGTCGATACTTTTCACAACGTCGAAAAAGAGTGATCCAGACTTCACATTGACGATGTTCAATGATCAACATTTCTTAGACTTGTTAGTAATGAAATTTTAATCTGTTGATAGAACTAAAGAATTTTACGGTCTTACAGATACTCCTAAATGATGATGAAAAAGACTGACGATAAGGAAGTATGCCATTTATTGATTTTTTAGTATACAGAGACCCTTCAAAGTTTTGTAGTGTAGATAACATGTAAAATAAGGCAGAATTCCGGGGGGTAACAAACGAGTACCTCTCTGTCAGCTTAAAAGATACGAAGGTAAACAATCGCTTGGGCTTACAAACCAAAGTTTAGTAAGTAAAACTGGGCAGAGCTGGAATTAGAGTCGGGATATCCGCATACTAATACCGAATAGTAACCTGCCTAGTTTTTGAGATTCGGATTCCTGATTTCTACAACTTCGGGGCATTATCAATGGTACAGAATTGGCAAATAGGGTAAAATGACCATATATAGTGTCATTTTTCGTAGTTTTACTGACTACTTCCTTACGTATATTACCTACTGACAAACCTGTTGGCTGTGAAATATGATTAACTGTTAAACGTCACTGATCAAGTCATTCATGGAGGATTGAATTACTTAGTTCCACCAATCTTCTTTAAAGCGATCATTTTAGTAGAGAATCAATACCTTGCCAAATTTCAGTGCTAATTAGCTTAATTAATTATTGATCTCTGAGGGAGTTGTGGGGATTTAGAAATATTTCAAGTTGTTATTCATCGTAGACTGACATCAGTTGAAGGAACAAAGGAAACCTGGGATCACTGGGTAGCTGTTTCGTCCTTGTATGGGACACCTACCATCCCGCGCTATGGCGTGAGCTAACAGAAGTTGGAAATATGGAGCATTGGATTATAACCCAGTGGCTAGCTCAGTGGTAACATTCTTGCTACGGAACCTGAAGGTCGCGGGTTCTATCCCTGCTGGTGTGGGGTCGTAGGTGTGCACTGCTGAAGAGTCCCATGCTAGTCAGACGAAACAACTGTCCAGTGCTCTCAAATTCCCCTTGTTCCTACAACTGATGTCAGTCTACGATGAATAACAACTTGAAATAATTATTGATCGCTGTAATTTCTTCATAACCAAGATTTTCATGTAATTTCTCTTTTCATATAGTTGAAAAAACAAAATATGGAGCGTAAACGACGTGCATGTATCTCTGATAAAATGAATGCTTTGCATAACTTGGCTATGAATTTAATTGGAATTGATGTAAGTAATTTATGATACTATTGCTTAGGATATATCTAGTGATGGTTTTGTTATTTGAAATCACCTGTATGAATTCCTTTTCCTCAGTATTTCACCATAGACCATCTTAGGAGTACTAGGATATCACTACTATTAGATTATTTCAAGTTGTTATTCATCGAAGACTGACATCAGTTGGAGGAACAAAGGAAACCTGGGAGCACTGGACAGCTGTTTCGTCCCAGTATGGGACTCCTCAGCAGTGCGCACCCACGACCCCACACCAGCAGGGATCGAACCCGCGACCTTCAGGTTCCGCGACCAGCGCGTTACGAAACAGCTGTCCAGTGCTCCCAGGTTTCCTTTGTTCCTCCAACTGATGTCAGTCTTCGATGAATAACAACTTGAAATATTTCCAAATCTCCACAACCCCCTCAAAATTTATTAGATTATTTGTTAACAGTTTGTTATTACAAAACTTATAGTTGAAATGAATGTTGAAGTTAGTGTAAATGATTCGACATCTTGATAATAATTAAGAAAGCGTGTTTTGTCCTTTTGAAACTTATCAACTGAATGTGCCTGCTTCCCACTTAGTGATGCTGTCTCCATTGGGACTCGAAACCGGAAGCTGTCACTTCCACAGCCATAATGTTATCATGATTTCATATTTTATATACCTACCTGGTGACCCACTTTTCAATGGTATTTAGAATTCATTTGGTTGGTTTGGATTTATGTAGTAGATAAAATGGTATGCAACCGCGTGTTGACTGACTTCAATACCCCTAAGTTAAATTTATATGCTACCAAGTTTTAAGATCACAGTAGTAATTATTATCAATTTGACTATCTGAGACAGCCGTACTTTGGCCAGACTAAAACATGCCACCAATGTATGAAGTCTCTAACTGTTGGTTTGAGCTATATAGGACGATGCAGACTAGGTGGTTGGGGTCCGCGGGACAAGAGGAACCAATGTTTGGAGACTCTAGATGATATAGCTGAGAACCGATGTCAGTGGGGTAGATGTATCCCCACACACATTATCCTCATCTTAACGACGCTATACCAAATCTCACCATTTTGTCATTCCTTTGTCATTTATTTCTTCTCGTACTTAATATTTATTTCTTTTTGACTGCATTCTCTTATCTTCATCCTTCATCCTTCACCTCACTACCTTTCTACTTGATGTAGTGATATGAGGTGTGACGAGTGGGACCGTATTGCAGTAATGCCTGGTCCTATGTTGATATTGATTGACTGATTGCCGTACTTTGGTAAACTTGTATTATTGACATTGGGTGATGATCAAAGATAAGATGAAAATCTGCCCCATGGCAGTTTTCGAACCAATGACGTCTTAGTTACAGACTTGGCACTACCAGCTGGACAGCGAGACCTGGTTGCAGACTGGCTTTTGGTTTCACTTTAATCATAAAGGGTTTTGTTCGACTTTCATATGGATTCGTGATGTGTTGCATTCCTTTCATCGTATTTTGCACTAGCTGTCCAGTCAGCACTTCTCACTGTAATTCAAATCGAACTGAATTAAAGAGGGGGGGGGGTAGCATCATACTTATTTATTGATGTGTTTCGAAAACACACACATACAACGTATATAAACGTGAAAATAAGTGTCTGGTTAACCAGCGCGTCACACTTAATACGCCCACTACCTAGCATAGATGTTTCAACGATGAGACCCAGTTAATTAATCTTTAACCTTTTTTGTCTTTATTTTGTCTACGTTCTCGATGAAATTCAATAATTCTGTTACTGCATAATTCTTTTTTCTTTTTTTAATGTCTTGGTAACAAAACCCTATCTTGTTGGCATAGTACATCTTCCTTTCTCTGCATTTATCGATGAATTATAGTGTTTTTCAGCTATGGTTCATTAAACATGAAAATTATCACCATCTACCTATAGCTGAAATGAAATTGAATTCAGTTGTAGAGAATTACATCAAGCTCTCTAGGCTGAAGCTGTAATCATTTCAGTCATTTACACGTTTTCGCTTGATTGTCTGAGTAAACATAAGGGAAATATTGACATTGATATGTGTCTTTAATTGCTATGGTGTATGAGTCAGTGTGTATGTGTCTGTGTGTGTTTGTTCACCAGACGTTCACTAACAGGCGTATTAGTAAGCGATTGGTCATAGGTTCGTGGGTAAAACATCACTCAGTGGGAGTTAGGTGCATCTACCTGACGAGTCATAAACAGGACGAAACTCACGTCCCTGTTTCCCCTGCTAACCCTTATCAGTTGTTAATATCATTAAAGTAAATCAGTTGAAAGACATCTAGAGGTTGTTTTTAAATTGTTGGCTAAAGGTCAGAATAATTTGTATTGAATTCAGTGTGGTCATCAGTGTTAACTCTAAAGAAAGTGTTATTTTTCATACAAGTTATCCATACTTACTGAAAACTAGTTTCGAAATCCTCTAATCACCAGTACCTGTTTGGCAGTGTAATGTGAGCTTGAAACAAGTGATATTTTGTTCAATATCCATGTTGCTGGTTAGGTACACAACCGACACTTAACGCTGGGGTTTACCTGGACAACCAAGTAGTACAAATCAATTCTAGCCCACTGATTTCGTCTAAATGTTAAAAGATAACAACTAGGAAACCTTTTAGTATATTCTACTCGCGATGAATTACAGTTATTACTAAAGCGCCAAGGAAACTAGGATATTGAAGAAAATTTGTGAAACTGGGGTTCACAATGAAGGCCACTTAATGCTAATCTAATCTATCTATCTCTTCTTTTCGCTCATAAGCTTGAAAAATTCCTAAAACCTCAAAAACCCTGAAATTAAGTTGATCTAGTTTTCATTGGTGACTAGCTTCAAGAGGTGATTCCTGAAGTTTCAATGAGAAGTGGTGACCGGTGGACCAAACCTGGCTGCCGTGAGGACAAATGCTTAATGATCATATTAATTGATGGTCGAACTATGTCATGAACTGACAGAAGTTGGAAATGTGTACCACTAAATTCTGACCCATTGGCTCGATGGTAACGTGCTGGCAACGGAACCTGAAGACCCTGGGTTCGATCCCTGGTGTGGTGGGGTCACTGCTAAGCACTGCTGAAGAGTTCTATACTGCGACGAAACAGCTGCCCAAAGCTCCCAGGTTCTCAATGTTTCCCCAACTGATGTCAGTCTATGATGAATACCAGCTTAAAACCAATACTCCCGGATGTATTACGTCTATTCGTTTTAACATGATTACATAACTGCTTATCAACTAGTATGAGACGGAATTATTGTGCTCAGATAAACTGGTCTATTTTGAACCTTTAAAAAATCTTTATTTTACTTTGTTTCACTTCATAGGCTGAGGAAAGACACAAAGTTGAAAAAGCTGACATCCTGAATCTTTGTCATAGTGTTTTTCAAGGAATAGCGAACATAATTAAAGACGAACCTGGTGAGTTTTTCTTTGGTGTTTTTTCTTAATATTATCTTGATCTTTCCGTTAGACTTCTTATAAAGGGACTGGCTAATCCATCCAATAGTGGATCAGGTTGTCGCTTTAATCACTGTGCCTCCAATCTGTGGGCTCATGGTTGAAGTCCCATGCCGCCAGTTTTGGCTTGGATAAATTAGGTCGTTTTATAAGTCCACCATATAACTCATATATGGTCCATAGACTAGTGTGTGAACCGGTACCGAGTCCCCGAGTTGTAGAGAGATGACTTCCAATCAGCGGCTTATCATCATTTCAAAGGACGAGTATACTGCACTCCAGTCGATTCTGTCCTGCTGTACATCTGTTGGACATGACCGCTGAAAGTAGAAGACATGAAGCATCTACATGGATTTTGATCACCGGTGTCTTCGTAGCCTTGCTCGGATTAGGTGGAATCACTGTGAGCAGTGTTGAACCCAGGCGAAGGATACTAGTCATCACGGGCAAGTCAATTAATGAGGTTATGAACCTTAGTCGACTGAGATGGTTTGAACATGGAGTGCGCTTGCCGAGCCATTGCCTACATCGACATGTCGTTTTCTCAGGCGAAGTTGGATTACGTTGGAAGAGCATTCACGGTGGCCAAACAAAGATGTGAGGAGATGTAGACTACCTGCTTTGGGTCCCCAAGAAGAAGGAATCAGTAGCTAGCTACTTTTGATGAGAATGGTGCAGGTGTATTCAATGTTTGACATTTTTTATAGCTTGAATATCCGCACTAACTGTCATCTTCAGGTTGTTTATTCTCTCATACTATTTTATCTACTTTCATATCCGTCATTTTCTATCCACCTGTTCCTTGTGTACTACTGTGAAGTGCAGCAACTTGAGCTGATGCACTTGTGTACTAGGTTCGAAGTTAATTTTGTCAGTCTTATCGGTTACTATTTCGTAAGCATCACATACAAACAAACTATAAGGTTCAAGTCCCTTCGTGATCCAAATCGTCACTCAGTGTAAATACTAGTCCGCCGAACACCACGGCTATCTCACTCAGATGGTCAAATTGATAATCAATATAATGCTCCCCCTATCTCTAACTCAGTTAGTTTGGGATTCGGATGCGAAGTTCTTACTTGACACTCAGTGTGGGCACGACCAAACGGTAATCACGTATCACGAACTCATATAGTGATTGAAGTGAAATAATAATCTGGTCAGTAGTTGGCTGTCGTAGCTTAGTTGGTAGAGTATGGGGCCAAAAATGTAGTGATCGCTGGTTGGAATCCAGTCGTGGTCCAAATTTTAATTTCGCTTTCAATCAATTATAGGGAGAAGGATTTTTTTTCTCAATATTATAGTTTTATTTGTATATTCAATTGAATTAATTTTCATTTTTCGTGATTATTTTGTTAGAATTACAAAACCGTTTACGAAAGTTACATCATCATATGATTGAAGAATCCACTTCATCTACATCAGTGTCAATTAAATTAGAAACTGGTACTTCTTTTGTATCTACTGATACAATCCCACAGTACACTTTATTAGATAAAAATAATCAAAGTACAGATCATCAGAATCATTATGAACAACATCCAAGACAATCGAAGGTTATCTCATCGTTTGAAGCACCAAAGTCACAGCCACCATCATTATACTGTTTTTCAAGTAATCAAAATCTTGAGGAACAGAATAAAGAAAATAAAATACCGAAATTGATTATAAGAAATTCTTCAATTATAAACTATAAACCAGTTCCTGATATCAGTGATAGGTGTACTAAATCTTCTCTATCTGATAATACACCATATATGTTATCATCATCTTCCATCTATTCAACACCATTGAATAATTTACATTCGAATAATATTATTTATTCACAAGATAAACCATTGAAAATGCTACAATGTCAATCAACACCTTTACAATATACTAAAAAATTTAATTTATCATTGAATAATTCTGATAGTGGTATAGACAGTAACCAATCAATTGAAGTGATATCAGACAGAAAACAGTTATCCATTTCAAATGAAGTTCATCCCATGCTTTCCTCTGAATTCATCTTAGGAGAAATATCAAATAAGCTATCACTATCATCTAGTTCAATGATGAATTCACCATTATTATGTGATGACTTTTCATCAGCATTCACTATTGCAGCAAATACGTTAACTACTACTACTACTACTACTCATATGATCAAATCAGTAGACGCTTCTTTCTCATCTAGTAATCCTCATCATTATCAAAGTTCAATTGTGACTAATAGTTTGTCGACTTCTGCTGCTTCTAATACACAAACAGTTTTCACTAGTGGCACTGATACTATACCAATGTGGAGACCATACCTTGACTAATTTGAACATAGCATGGTTCCATCTTCCAATTATACCAAATACCATTGCTTTCTTTTCTGCTAAACAAAATTATATCATGTACATAAAACAGAGACAAATATACATTTACAAATTCACCGGTAAATTATGCAATTCCACTCAAAATATTACCATTGAACTGTAAAGATGAAGTTGTCTAAATTTATCTTTGAATGCAAAAAGTCATAGATCATTGAACAGAATAGATTTGTACAGATTTCATTGACCTTTTAAACTACTTTGTTATTGGTTATCTCAATAGAATCATTTAACTTTTCGTTGTTGTTATGATACTAGTAATTTCCAGCTGCTATACAAGGGCTTAATTCCTTGATCCCTGTTGGCAGATCTGCTCCTATGGGGATGCCTGCTGATTATTTATGATGTTATATATGATCTTGGCGACTAGCAGAGGAATCTAGGAGTCTCGTTTTGTCCTGTTTTGGACTCACTAATGAAATGGATGTACTTGCACCCCATTGAGTGTTGTTGTTCCCACCAAGGCTCGAACGCAGTAGCCTTTGCTTCACAGGTCAGAGCGTCATCCACTAAGCCACTGTGGCACGATAGCCACCTCTTATCTGCTAGACATTTTACTTTTTAATAACTCTCTGTACTCAATCACGCATGATATAGTACTGCCCATGGAGGTGGATGCTGTTGAGTCCGTTGTACTAGAAAACACTGTAAAATCTGTATTGATAAGACAGTTTGCTCCATCTCACCAATGTTATGGAAAGTTAGAATCTTAGTTGATTAGAAGTAATCGGCAGGAATTTTTGTTTCACCTAGGATACGTGCTTGTTGGCACTCGTCAGACAGGCGTATCTGCAACTTCAACGGGACTGATGTCTCGCCTGAGATTCGAACTCACACCATCAAGTGCTGCAGTCAGAGACTTTACTACTTAGTCATTCGAGTCGCCATGGTGAGTCTCCTAGCTTGGTGATTACATTGCAAAGTGGTCGACAGGATTCGATCAGCGAATAAGACTAGACACCATGAAGTTGGTTATCTTTCGGTGACCAGCCAATATACGAAAAAGACTCTATTATGCGGAAGTACAAATGGAGTCAAATAGGACTTTTGGAGGTGTATGAGTCGTTTACCCCGAACTATGGCAAGAACATATCACCTAACAAATATTCAGAAGAAAGGGGAGATGGATTGGACTGAACATATACTGAGGAACCATTTGGGGACATCACGCACGAGGACCAGGCCAGGTACTCGAGTAGAATCCAAAGGGGAAACGATGAGTTGGGCGTGCCAGGTGAGCGTGATATGGAGGAAATGGTGTGAGGAAGGTTGGGGAAACTGCAGAGAAGAGAGTGAAATGGCGACGTGTACCAAGCCCTAAGTTCCACTAGGAACCCAAGAGACAAATAATAATAATAATGGCAAATAAAGAATGACTTTAAAGACCGACCTAGCAACTGCCGCAGTGATCAATCTGGTTTCGGTATTTAAGCTAGAAAAGGGTTCTTCCACTAAATGAAGAAAAGTAATTGGTCGTCTCAGTAGTTGCTAGGGTGATATAGAAATAACCTTCAAAGTTGAATAATCGATTTTTTGAGGATTTAAAAAAAATTTGAGTAGAACTCAAGTTCATTTTATTCCATTACCTTTCTTTATATTGGAAAAATAACAGTACAACGCTTACAGTCACTATGACAACTTTGACAAACTTCAATAGATAAAAGAGCACTGATCAATTCATTTTGAAAAAACAAAATAAGAATTGTCATCATGACTTTATTATTGATAAATTGATTACAAGTGTTGAATTTATTTTTGCGTTAATACCAGTTACCACGGTTACTGGACATTAATGTGAACTTTGTATGAGGTGTAATCAAATAATTTGCAAAATTGAAGGTTATTCTGGGCGACTTCAGAGGCCACCTTATCAATTGCTAAAACAACCAATCAGGTTGCTGTACTTTGGCTTTCATAGAACAGAGAAATGTAATTGGCTGTTGCTAGGCCGGCCTTTAATGTTGCTCGTTATCCTGGCTTTCCATCATACCAGAAGTATTCAGTTGAGTGAGACGAATGTTGCATTGACCTAGTGTGACGTGGTATGATCCTAGTTCACTTGGCAGAGATTCTAACGCCTGTTCTACACAAGTCACCAGACAATATACAGGTTAGGCAGCAAGTAGCAGAATATACAGCTGAGTTGTAGGTACTTACATGTTTGAGAAACAATGAGCAGATTGTGTTAGACTTGTACAAGTTTATTATGTTGTAAATTGCTTTGTGGAGGCTAGCAGTGGGATCGAGAACGCGTGCTTCTTCCTATTTTGGACTCATCGGTTGGATGTAAGTGAATCCTAGTGAGTGACATTGTTTTCATTGAGACTCGAACCCAGCACCACACCTTCAAATGCCAGTGTTATCCGGTGGGGTGATGTGATAATCCACTGTTAATCACTATTCATTCTCATCCTCATAATGAAATCCCCAACTGAACTGAGGGGTCAACTTGACTATGATGAATAGACAGTGATATATCATGAGAGTGAAGTGAGCAGCTGGGTCTCGAAGCTCAAGTAGCAAAGGGCATGGCCACCTCTGGTTTGAATCTTGCCACAACTTAGATTTACATGTCATCTTCAATTATCATACAAGTATCAGTAATATCAACTTGCCAAACTATGGCCATCTGAGATATTCTTATTATACGTGGGTTGCTTTAGTTTATAAATTAGTTTATATAAATAGACTGAAGTCTTACAGTTTATTTCTTAACCATAACTATATGCAATCTTACAACCAAATGTAAGCTTACATGGTACGTTTGTACTCATGAGAAATAAGTTCAGACCTACCCTAACTCATAAACAAGTTCTATTCAAATCAATGTTTCACATATTCTTCAGTTTATTCCCATTAGTTCAAGTGTCCAGTTTTCCTGTAGTCGCTGTTATCCCATTATCATAGGGAAGTTAAAGAAGACGATGAATCTCATGCAGAGTGTAAATGTTAGGTTTTTAATTTATGTCAGTTGGTTGGAGGCAGTCGACAGGATGTCCTGCTCGACCTAGGTTTCGCACCCTTTGGCACTCGTCAGCAAAACGTATCTGCAACCTCGACGGAATTGACGTCCGGCATGGGGTTCGAACCCGCGTCACCCAGTGTTGTAGTCAGCAAATTTACCACTGAGCTATTCGGGCCGCGATTGACCTCCTGTAGGACTGGTTTACATGTATTGATTGGTCACGGGAATGCGACCGATTTCATGTTGTCTAGTCTTGAGTGCAGACCGAATTATATCGATCATATTTACAATGTGGCAACCAAACTAGGAAGCTCAACATCGTGGTGCACACATTTATTAATACTCATATTTTCAGTTTGGAAAATTGTAACCAACAGATGCGTGAACACTGACTTGATCAATAGACAGGTTACTCAGACGGAATCAGACAAATGGAGATCAATCAAAAATCAGGCAACAGGCCAACAGTATTGATCAAACGATAACAGCAGTTATAAAGGTGAATCACTGCTGAAAACAAACAACAGGTCGTGCCTAGCGACGAATCACCACCGCTGAAGTTCGGCACTTATGTAACTTGGAAATGCTTCACCTCTAAACGAATCAAATTCTAATGAAGTCGCCTAACCTGATGATGAAACGTTCAAGAACGAACCTCAATACTCGGAGAACACCAAACAATTGTCATTCTCCTCCTGAGCTACAAATCTTCTGTACCATCTGAGAGATGAAGTTGTGGTGTATCGGTTTAGGGAGTTAACTTCCAATTAGTGGGTCACAGTGTCAAACACAGTTGTACCTAATGATATGGTTTAGGTAGCCAGGTGGTATCATGAAGCGTCATACAACAGGTTTGGCTCATTGCCTGCTACACGAATATACATAAAGTTACTGAGGGGGTTTCGATTTCGACTGTCTCAGGGTAGTTACGTCCTTCAATTACGTCATATTGACTTTCAACTGGGGGGGGGTGCGTTCCATGACGTAATATGTTTTATATTCTAATATAAATTTATCCATTGGTCGTGAACATTACTTGAAGTGGATTTTTTTTCTCTTTCATATGTGCACGCATGTTTAAGCACATTTCATAATAGTAGTTATCACCTTTCTTGATAATTCAACCAAAAGTCAGTTTGAGAAATTTCGATGACATGGAAACAATAATATTTTAAAGATCAGATTTTCAGTGGATTACCATCTAGTTGGTCGGTTGCTTCAACCTTTTGGTTTAAAGTAAAAATTAGGTGTGAAAACTGAAGGAGATGAGTTGTATCCAACTGATAGCTAAGGATGGTTTTAAACGTCACCCTGGTAACTGCTGAAATAACCAATCAGATTTAGGTATCTTGGCTAGAAAAGTAGCTTTTCATGAAATAAAGAAACATAATTGGTTATCTCACCAGTTGCTGGGGTGGTTTTTAAAGTCACTCTATGGCTAATCACTTCCAATTTGAATATTACACTAGATTTCTGTTTAAATATATTGAGAAACGAGAAACTTTCTTCTCATACCATAAATTCTCGTTCTCAACTGAAAGGTATTTCATTTACCTTACCATAATTATGGAACTCGGGAGGTGGGAAGGAAGGAGGCGAGAGTTGATCAGTTTTAAAATGAGCCTCATTGAGAATCGATATGTTTTGAAGTACTATAGGCGACATTAGAAGGTACACTGTGTTCTGTTGTAAAAAAAACATACTCAGTAGTTGTAAAAATCCTTGAATTGGATAAATTTTTCTCTAGATTAATTCCAAACACCTAACAAATGTGAAAGAAGGAAGGATTCAACTGATTCGGACATTTTGGTGCGCATAATCAATTGAATGCCCAAACTTTAAGAGCCACCCTAGCAACTGACGAGACAGCCAATAACATCCCTTTATTTTGTGGAAATATCAAAGTCTGATTGGTCATTTTAGTTGTTGCTAGGGTGGCCTTTAAGTCACCCCCTTAGAGCATTTTTTATTTTAGGTTCTTGCAATCCTTAATCATCTAAATTAACCTTGTTAATACTGAGAGGATGTGTTTGTCACCAACACAAGAAAACAGTAAGTCCAAGTTATGGACAGGTCACAATGTGAATACATTTCCCTTGGTGAGATACCCCTCAGTGGCTTCCTATAGAAACCCATGTGATTAGTAAATACGCCCACATGATATCCATTCTCCTTTTCTGCTACCAATGCTTGAGTCATGTTTCATTTCATCTTGTTCTATGAAAGTAGACAACA